CAACATTAACAGAACCTACTAAACATCTTTGAGCTCTTATTACTATTCAAACGGTTCAAATGGTTGTGGATGGAATAAAAGAAGGTTTCGTTCAACGGGCTTCCGTGTATAGTAACAGTGGGTCACAAATGCATCAAGACAGGAACCTAGGTATATTAATGATAATAGAGAAACAAGAAATTGGTAACCCATAGTAAGATATTATCCTTAGTCCTTAGGAATAGATCAAGTTTCCTCTTAAAAGACTCCTGAAAAGTCGCTTGTACTAGTTCATTCGGCAGCGAATTCCAGCATTTGACAACTCTTAAAGAGTAGAAGTTGTGTCTACAGTCCGTTCTGCTATGTTGTGTCTCCAGTTTCTGGGCGTTACCACTAAAGTTTGTGTTGGAACTAAACTTAGTTGGGCGTTTAAGGGGATGTCCAGATGTGTTGAGGGTACTGTAAGGCACTAGAATTTCACATCTAAGACGTCTGTTCGCTAATGGGTAAAGATTTAGTGAGTGGAGGCGCTATTCATAGTGCTTGAACTTGAGTCCTCGAAACGATTTCGTGGTTCGCCGTTGGATACGCTCCAGAGTATCCGTATCCTTTTGGAGTGAGGGAGGAAATACTATGTATCCGTACTCTAAATGGGGAATAATGTAACTGTTGAAGATTATGTGGAAAGTTCTTCCGTCAAACTGGCCAAAAAATGCGCTTCAATGTTATCAGTGCAAGGGTTGCTTGAAAGTCATTTTTGTCAAAGTTAGCGTATGACTTCAAATCGTAAGGTACCAGGACTCCTAAATCTCGGCATACTACTAGTGAGGAATTTCTTAAGTTGTAACTGTAGTCTGCAACATGTCGCAGATGAACAACTTCACACTTTGAAGTGTTAAAGATAAGTCCGTTATCGTCTGTCTAACTTTGAAGTCGAGTCAGATCCTTCTGAAGCGCCAAATCATCCTCTCAATGTTTCACAATTATCAGCGAAAAGTAATAGTTCAGACGATACCTGTTGTGGAAGATCGCTTATATAAATCAAGAAAAGTAGAGCTCCTAGTACTGAGCCCTGGTGAACTCCACTAGAACATTCTATAGCCTGAGAGAAAGTAAAGTTAACCCTGACCTTAAAGTGTCAATTTTTTATATATGAAGTGAGCCAGACGTGAGTTGATGCCCAGTCGTTTGAGTTTATTGATAATACATATATGGTTGGACCTATCAAAAGCATTTGAAAAGTCAAGGTAAATGACGCCAACCTTCCTCTTGCGATCGAGGATGGTTGTCTATCTATCCACCTCAGTCAGAAGGTTGGTTATACAAGAATGACCCTTCCTGAAACCATGCTTTTGGGGTGAGAAGAAGCGTAAGGATAATAAATAGTAGTGTATAGCTTCGCATATCAGGGACTCCATAATCTTTGAAGGCATAGGGAGAAGAGCCAACATTCGCTGCTTGAAGGTTTGCTGCGTCGACCTCTTTTGAAAATTGGTGTGATGCGAGTCTTCTTCCGAATTTCCGGTAATGTGAGAACATCACGCTGAGCGGTGTTTACAGGATTGAAGCTGCTTTCTTCAATATAGCAGATTAAACCATATCCGGGCTAGAAGTTTCTTCTTCTTAGGTGCTGCAGTTTCTGGGACACCAAGTCAGCGCTCAGGTTCACTTCGAAATGTCCTGTGGAGTTACAGATGAAGCTTTCATCAATATAGTTAATGTGGTTCAGTTGAAATGCCTGGGAGTACCGTTCAGTCAAAAGTTTAGCGGCGTCACCGTCGTTATTGGCCGGGCCATTAGGACCTAGAAGTTTAGTAACCCTAGTTTTGGCTTGTCGAAGAGAGGCTGCATAACGGAATAAGCTTTTCGAATTGTAGACAATTTTATCGATAAGCTTTATTTGGTACTGAAGTCTGCCTTCGTGCTTATGTTCCTTATATGTTTTTATTGCCTGTATGCACCGTTGTTATCAGCTCGTTTGTATTCCGCCCAACGGTGCCTTTTTGTAGCTTAGCAAACGAAGAGGGCGATTCTCGATGACTGTAGGTTGCTTGTAAATTTTGGGGATCATTTGAAGAACAGACTGCTTTGTAGCACATAAGAGCGTGTGTGGTAAGAAACCCCAATGAGCTTCCACATCATTTGTACATTGTTGTACATTGTCCTGTAAAGCTGATACATTCAACCGTTTGAAATTCCAGCGCCTGTTCTTGTTGTTGGGATGTCTGCTCAGTTTTGCTGATAAAACTAAACGCTATGATAGCGTCATCGCTTCTCCCCGGGAGAGCCAGGATTGAGAGTATCAAATAGGAATTATTCGTTCGTAAATACCCAATCCAAGCGTTACGGCATCTGACTGTTTCTCCAATGAGTGGATGTTATTACAGAAATATATTTATCAGAGTAGACACAAGCGAAATTAAGAACTCCGCCGCATGGCCCAGTCCGTGGCGTACGATTAATTGATGTGCTTTGGCCGTCATTGACCTTTACAGGGATAGGTGATTGGCTCGATATTCAGTGACCTAACTGCCGGAAGGTTTGGCTAGGGCTCAGTGACATGTCGCTAGCCCTACAATACCCCCTACCAGATTCAACGGCCGCTTAAATCGGTACCAAACATGTTCGGAATGGTCGCGCGCCCGAGACTGCCAAACGATTAATGCGAATCCTTCGGGTATTGTTGAGCTGTATGACAAATGGAAAGGAGGTGGCAGAAACTGTTCGGGAAAACAGCAAGTAATAATATGTTAGTAGGACGTTGGTTAAATATAAAGCGATTAACCATAGAAATAATAGAAAAACAACGTTTTGAAGTTTTGTCAAGTCACGCTGAAATTGGTACCTCTGACAAGTGATTGCGTTCCTCAGGTGAGAAACGTTACGTTTATCGCAAGAGTAATGATGATATAGTGATAGTAAGATAAGTGTATTATCAGTTGATGGCGATGTGTGTGCTGCGATTGTTTGAAAGTTGAAATTCAAACAATGTCGTTGACAGCTTCTATTCGTTAGTGTCGAATTTTAGTTGTATCTATATTTAACAGACTAACAGTAAGTACAAACGTATAACCGTAAAGAGAAGTCTTGATTTCGTTGTGCAAAGCTATTGATCAACTTGTAGTTAGAGTTTGAAAAGGCGATGACTGCTGTTACAGTCAGTAAAGGTTGAAGTCTACAGATCGAGAGCAATTGTGGCACGATGAAGTCTCTAAAAGATGATAAGCGGTGAGTGCTGCGTGCTTGTTCGATAAGTGAACCGAAAATATCGAAAGAACATAAGAAACCAAGAGTGTCACTCCGGACTCATGTCAATGATACCAATGAAAAACGCTGTCAGTGTTGGGATAAAGGCAACAGTGTCGTTTTCAGTTTGCAGGAGATTCGCTCGACCACATAAACTTTTGACTCGCGCGAATGATAATGTCGTCAGACCACCAAATGGACTGAACAGGTTGTAAACCGTCCAGTGGTTGAACAGCCAATCGATGTACCGAAATAATCTGTGAGATAACGGCCACGAGGAAACAATACTTCATGAAATAAAGTACGGCATCACAATTAAATAACTACAATAGTTCGGATGTGTTACAACGTCAAATGGAAACAAATCGTTCTTACGAATTCTGACAGTTTCACTGAACGTTCGTCTAGGTATTGTTAGCGTAACAGTTGGATGTGTGAATAAAAACATAAGCGAAGACCATGGTGTGGTTTGTGGAGAATTTCAGAGGACGTTTATATATTTTCCAAACCCGTATTTTATATAAATATACCGAAAATGGAATCAAATTGACTGTCGTGCAATGAGGAAATCGAGCCATGATTTACCGTGTAAAGTAATAGCAAATACAAAGAGTATAGTAAGCATTAATTAAAGTGGTAACCACCAATATAACTAAAATGTAGAAGGTTCAGGTAATGTGGCCATTTCGTAAAAGGCTGATGCAAAGAGCTCAGTACCTAGCGTTCAGTGACATATTACGTATGTAGGACAAGGACTAAGATTGCTCGTGTATATGTAATGTCTTACCATAGTATATTGACTTACGAGTCATAAATGACCTACTGAAATTATGGAACTCGCCTGTGTCAATCTCGTTTACAAGCAATGAGAATTTGAAGTAGACAGTAGTTCGAAACTGATTTGTATACTAGGTACTGTTTATTGAATTCCTGGAGTTGAAGATGCCACAAGTATTCGGAGTTTGACAACGCTTTGACCAGTAACACCTAATATGAAGCGTACCCAACAAGTCAAGTCAAAAGACAGAAGCGAGGAGGTTCGAAAATATATTTGATAGGCTATCAATATATCGAAGATAGTCTGATCTAATCTGGCTAGCGATTGCAATACATGTTGAGCACGGCGTTCCCAATCGTGATCCGGTGAGGATGCATGACCGAGCGCCTTCAGCTAGGTGAATCTATTAAAACTAATGTGATCAGCATCCAATATCGAAAACTTACAAAGCAATTTATTTTGGGGAGTTATTTACCGCTACAGATGAAAATAGCGTAGTAGACGGAATTTGTGTAAGTCCAAAATGAATTGAAGCCAAATACGTAGCACTGCCTGGTGAACAGTCTAAACGAGACCTAAGATTGCAGGACATTCACAGTTCAAACTCACTGTAAATTTCTAGCATACGTATTCTCTGTTTGTCCATGGAACCCAGCTCTACAAGTGAATTCGAGATGAGTAGAGCGGGATAATCCTTCCAGCATACGATTGATGTACTCGATGTCAGCAGTGGGCATCCCATCTCATGACAAGGATACGGAATCACTGGTAGCGACTAGAGCGACTTACAGCAAACAGAGGACTCGTTGTAGAAAGCTGAATTGTAGATCACTAGCTTGTGAATCTATGTTGAATGATTGCGGTTTAATCACTTTGGACGGGAATGGTGTAACCTATCAGCTTAGCCGAAGTCACTTCAAGTGGTTTGTGCTTAACAAGGATTGTTCTGTATATCAATCAGTAGAATTGCATGCTCGAGATACTGGCTACAAAAATACTCTCAATGGGCAAAAGCATATATTAACATTAACAAGTTGCAGAAGTACAAGTCAGAACAACTATACCATGATCAATAATCATTCTGAGCATCATGATAGCAACGAAAATTAAGCGATTAATTTATATTATCATCCCTTACAGATGTTCGGCATCAGATTTAGAACCTGCAACCGCGTGTTTTTGAATAATGCGCTTCTGTTTTCTGAGGTTCCTCAGTCCGAGTAGATGTGGTAGTTTCAGTAGCGTTAGCTTTACTGGAAAGCCTCATTTACTTATGACGTGGAGAAAACTAAATTCTGAAAGCGATCGTTCCGTGGTGGGAACCAACAATCAATACTTAGTTTACGAAAGCCCACACCGTAGACTTGTCTTAGGCGCTAAGACATTTTCAGTGCTTTCCAGTTCTATCGTTCTCTTTTCACAACCTATTTTGTTTTTTAAAATCCCTGACCCGAAGGTATTTTGTTTCGCTCTTGTTAGTGGCCTGTTGTTCTCCCTTTCTACTCCGCTCTTGCTGCATCTTTTGACTTCTAGTCATGTTACAGAATTATATTATGACAAGGAAAGCAAAATGTTTACTGCTTGTCTAAAAGGAATACTTCTCAATACCAAGAAATTGGAATTCACTGCTGAAGATGTCAAATACATCGAGCCGACCATCACAATGGCAAGCATTATGGCCAAAGGTGTACCGTTATTTGTTTCAGAAGATCACTTCAAAGATATTGAAGTGTATAAACAATTAGTGCGATTTAATGAGCCAGTGGATGTAAAAAAATTCTGAATAAATGCTTGGCATCAATAATTCACGTTTTGGTCTTTTATTAGATTTATTATTTCTCTCTGGTTGATTTCCTTTCCTATATATTTAGGGATCGAAATGTCGTCCAGATGAAACTAACATTATCATTGCTTAGGACTTCTGTACTCAGTCTCCTTCAGATAATTCATGAATTAAGTTGTGTTCAGAGTCTAAAGACACAAGAATACCTAGTTTCTGCAAAATGACCTTTGGTGTCTATCCTGATGTATCACTCACCAGGGAAGTAAATCAAATAAGAAGCATTTGTTAAACGAATAAATATAGGTACTTGCTGCATAAAAACTTGCAGATGATTTAAAATCTTGAGATTAGTTCAGATTAGTTTTCCGATTAGTCTCACCATTGGTCCTGGATGTATTGTTGCTAATGTTTTTTGCATTCCCAGCTCGACAACTACATTATGTCCATATTTCGGCTGACAGGTTTCTAACAGTTTAATAACATAAGTGTTCGGTGTTCAAACGAACTATAAGTTGCATTATCACTGCATATAGGTTGCGACGATAGCTTTCTACTTTCATTTTTCTCTTCTGCATTTATAAATAATTTAGACATTTAGCTCATGGTTCTCATTGCACGTACATATGTTAATACCGGAGATATATCTTCCCATAAAGTATGCATACATATACGTCAAAGGATCACATATTTGTTACCATGTTAACCGAATGTGTCTTTATTTGAAGTTTTTAAACCTTTATTTTCCCTTAGCGCCCATGTTGGACTATTCTTTCTTATGGGACTGTGTACAACCATGACTACAGGATTATTGTTTCGTCGCCGCCAATTAGTTTCACAGATTTTCACTCGGTTCAATTATAGTAATTCATTTGGCTCTACAAGTTCGAAGAAAAGAGCTCCTGGACATACGGTAAGAAGTTTCCTCTTATTAGACAAATCATTGTGATAAGTTATCAGATAAAGTCATTCAGTGGGGTAACTACCTGTCTCAACTTGTAAGATCTAGATTTTTTCAATCTATTTACGCTCAAACGTTTGAAAGTCAGGTTAGCTCCAGGAAACGAAGCTAATTTTTGCTCGAAGATATTTCTTAGCCTGTAGCCCCTGTGACAAGGATGTTTCTCTTTCTTTTTCCTATGAAGTTAATCCATAAATGAATTGTGATTCTGTGACTTTCAATTTCGTGTTTTCATATACGGAAATAAGATCAGTTGGCATAAATGTTTTCAGAAATTTTCAACATTAGTGGACCACAATATGGGTTTTTTGAAATTTTTAACCAAGCTCAAACTTTTCAAACGTAATCGACAGTGAGTTTTACGGCTCTGAGAGTTTAAGAGTATGTTTACAGTCAGTCACGATGTAGCAGCTGGTGCGTGCGTAGATCGGTTAAGTTTGTCATTCCCTATTTTCACAGAGGGATGAAATTGTCAGGTCAAATCTCATAATAGTAGGAGCAGTAACGGTATCATTGGTGGCTGAAAAGACTAAGCATCGAAAATACGATTCAACAGTATATAAATTAATTAAATAAACACAGAAAGGTTATGAAGGATTCAGAAGCTCAGGATTTGGAGAAAGACGGAGAATGGAGTCACTTGCGCCATTACAGACGATTTTACGATAAAAAGTGTTCATGTTTTTCCTTCACATACATCAAAATCTGTTATGTTGACTTACTAATGAGAATTCCCTCCCCTATACTCACTAACGAACTTGCTTTCTGTGGTCCCACATCCAAAGAAATTTAGTTTAAAATTAGTGGGGTTAGAAGCACGTCATGTTTTAAGAGATACCATCTAAATTATGATGAGTCTCAATGTGACGTTTTAGTGCTAATCAGTAGTAACTGACAGTTTTACACCTTTAGATTTGAAAATTCAAGTGGTTTATGGGATTGAAGAAAAACATCGGCTAACGAATAACTTCAGTACGTAAACCTGGGAAATCTATAAGCAGTCCAACTGATTTGCAGCTACTTCATTATTGCTTTGAAGCCTACCATAACCTGATAGAGACGTAGACAGTTACCTACCCTCCAGTTTTGATGAAATTGACAACATTGTGACAAACCTGAAACAAGACGAAGTAGCGAAACTTAGTCGTTTATTTCCAGGTGTTTTCAACGGTAGCATTCAGAAGTAACTGGTCAGAATAAATTTTTAGTTATACCAAACGAATTATAAATGATTTCTTCAAACCGGCCAATCGTTTATCATTCTGGTGTCTTAATAATTAGAATCCTCTTGCGATTATCACTGAAGTCGGTTTGTGAAACACTGTCTCCAAAACCCACTTGATACCCAACGTAAATTGAGTAACAAAAATCACGGAAAACTTGCAGGAATGCATGCAAAAAATTTAAATTGTCATAATGTTTTGTAACTTTGAAAAATTTACTGCTAACCTATGCTTACGATTTTAATTTACTTAGAAAGTAATACTTGACACCATCGACTTAAGATTTTATTAATGCCTCTGACTTGAAATTTTCTTCTACGAACATGTAATGTTAATAGGTTGTCCTAATTCGGGATGAATACGTGTTTTGGTACTAGTTAGAGATTCTTGGATAAACATGTAGTATGACTAGATCAATAGGAAATCTCTTTATGCATATAATCGGGACTCACTGGTTGCATGGTAGATAATTAGGACCATTTTTCACAGGTTTGAGCAAATCAAAGTTTAGTATAAGCTTGCACTAATTGTCACCACAGTCATCACCGATTCCCTTCTTAACATCTTCACTCTCCCAACCAACCTTTGACTTAGATAGATAATATTCTAGTCAGTTTTAGACGCATACATGATTACTAGTCTATGCATAGTACTTGTCTGAATTCTGATCATTCTCTCTGTAATATGTGAAACTTACATAGTTGACAGATTTATCATTCTAAAGAAATTACCGCGATTGGAATTGGTTTCATTTGACATGACACCAAATTGGACTAAATTTGATGTTAGATGTTCAAGCCACAAAACGTTTAGTTGTCATGGAAGTGATGGTTAACGCCTTTAGTAGCTTCAAAAAATGTCCAATATGGTGCTTATCGTTTGCCTTACGTTCCTTACTTAAAAATATCACAAAGCTTGCATGGAAACCTAGAAGGGTGAAGGTTTTGGTGGGGTGCCCAGATGAGAGTTGCGTCTGTATATGGCGGCTGTCAGGATATATACCATTTCATCTCAATAATCTTGATTATATTGGTAGCTATCGATTGCCTGGTTGTGATCAGTGGTATTATCAGGCTTAATCGTTGGAGACGTTGAGTGTCTCTAAATGGCTCAAAAAATGATGTTGATTACGCAAATATATTCACTTTATCTCCTAAATCTCGATTTTCAGAATTATTATGCGGATTTCTCACTATCACTTCTACTTTTATTACTTTGTCTTAGTAATTTCATCTACATGCGATTATGTTACGTGACACTTAAGCCGATGCACATATTTTCCAGGCTCTAGGTTGCTTATTACTGACTGGTTGTATTTATAATGTATTTTTTACTACCGTACAATTTATAGCTCCAACCTTTTGTATGCAGTAAACGAGTTGTTGTGAAAGCAGGTAATGGCGGCAATGGTTGTATTGCGTTCCGACGTGCCTTTTGTAATCCACACAGTGGTCCTAGTGGTGGAGACGGTGGAAATGGTGCTCATGTAATTTTCAAAGGTGAGGAATCAATATATTGCCTTTCTTATTTAAACCTGTTACCCTTTTCGGGGCTTAGGGCGTCGACCAAGAATCGCCAACCAACTCTATTGTGGCTCTCTTTTCTAGTTATTAAGTACTATTTATTCTTCTTGATGCCTGCCTCTTCTCCTTTTGCTTTGAGGATTCCAAGTTAGAGCTTGATTTGTGATGCAATTTGATGATGTTCACAATAAATATCCTATCCACCTCCTGCGTCTTTCCATAATTTTCTCCTCAGCTGGAAGCTGGATTATTCTCTGTCACAACAGATTATTGCTTATAGTTCCAATGGATCCGGAGTATTTTGCGCGAACATCTTTTGATGCTTCCAATAGTTCTTCAAGTCTCATCACTGTACAATAGAGTTGTAGTGGCTGGTCGTATGTCGAGCCCACATAGCTAGAATAAGTTTTACAAACCGACAATCTACCGAAAAGAAAAGCAGATGACCGATTGAGGCGTTGGGATTCACTATATTGTTGTATCTATAAATTTGGTAGACTGTTTGTTAACAAATTAAACGTTGAATCATCAAATGTATATGACTGTACCTCTACATTATGACTGGAATATGATCATTAAGAAGTTAGAAGATAAGACGAATATTGGCAAAATAATGACTGGGTTACTCCCAGGGTTGGACGTGGGGGATTAAGTAAAAGAATAATCAATCGAATGAGGTTATCAGCCTCTGTAGATAATATTTGTGAACCTGAATTAACTGATATTAAGTCAGATAAAATAACCTAAGTTTATCATTCCATGTTATGTGAATGGCACGGTTTTACTAGGCGGAATTACATCACCATACTGAGTGTAGGGTTTAGTAATTTCTTTCTTAAAGTGAGATTCGTCACAGTTTCCACCCACATACTTTTCACCCATTTAGATGAAGACATAATTGTGTTTATCTTATGATTTTATCGTTTTTCGATGGCATAACACTAGAGAAATAATCAATTTCAAATAGGTTTCCTTAAATAACCGAAACCCTTCAAATCTTAAGTTAATTGACATCGTCTTCTACTAGGTTGGCGGAAGTTTTGAATTACAGTTTATGTTATTAATGTCATAGGATAGGAAACCCTAATAATTGTGTTAATAAGTGATTAGTGTCACATGTTATGCATAGACTTATTATGATCTAATCATTAAATACATAAAAATATGCCCAATTTTCCGTTTATTTTGACATCTTTCGTTTGTTACTATGTGCTCATCATACGAATGCCATAAATAAGAACTTGATAATTCTTGTGACCATTATTTTGTTTGAATGTTAGCAATAACAATAACCCTCATTGTACTGAAATATTGTATACTGAAAGTTTCGTATTATTATTATTATTATTATTATTATTATTATTATTATTATTATTATTATTAATGTCCAATTAATTGACATTTGATTGTGGAAATTTTTTTCCCAATTTATCATCCATTCCTCATTGGAATGAATAGTGAGATGAAGCTCTCTGTATGTGTTTATATATGTATTCATTTAACATTCAATAAACTAATATATGAATTTATACAGATTCTTTAAAACAAATGATTCAGTATTATTTATAATTATCTCCAGAATATTCGTGCAAGTTGATTCTTATTTTAATCTTATTTTTTTAGCTGATAAAAATATATCTGATTTATCAAATATACCCACAGTTGTACAAGGTGATAATGGTGTGAACGGTTCAATTGATGATTGTCATGGGGCAAATGCTGATCATTTATATCTACAGGTAATTATGTACGCGTATCAATCCACTTTTTAATGATATTATTCTGTTATTATTAATGTAAAAATAATTATTCCTTCCAATCAATTCAAACAGTGTATAATAAGAATGTGAAGTTTACTAGGAGGAGTATATGATGTGAATTTTAGCAAAATATATTAGTAATAATAGTGTGATCACATATTAACTTATTGAGATATTTACAGATGTAGTCCCACAAATATATATTTATAATGAGGTTAAAGGGTTCGATTTTCATCTGCTAGTTTAAAGATCACTACACCTACTTCAGTGTAACAGACCAGGGTATTATCACCACTCTGTATGTAGAATGTAACTCTAAGTCAAGTACAAGGATCCGCACCTGATAAGTGAGCTAAATTAATGAAATTAAAAAAAGTGATGAATTTCATCTTTTTAAAAGTTATCAACTGTACTATTTTAAAAATGTGTAAAACTGAACAACTGCATTATCCTCCTTATGTTCCACAATATCTTTCTCCCCTAGAAAAATATACAGATAAACAATTTGCTTGTTTAGGTAAATCTTCGCTAAAGCTAATTATTTTGTGAAATTTATTGTCTTTTTTAACTGTTTCATATAGTTTAAATGGGTTTTTTATATCGTTGTTCATTCATCAGGTTCCGATAGGTACACAAATTTTTTCTGTTCATAAAAATTCTGTTGAAAGTCCAAATCAAATATCAAATGATGATGATGATAATAATAATAATCAATCTATTAACCTAGTTAAAACGTTAAACGCAGATGGTGATATATTTCTAGCTGCACGTGGTGGTGCTGGTGGTAAAGGCAATACATTTATGACACATGCAACATTAGCGACAGATTCATTAAAGTTACCTAGTCGTAAAAATGCTCCATTACGTATTGCTGAATATGGTGGTAAAGGTCAGTTGTGTGAATTCATTCTACGAATGTCAAAACTAGCAGATTTAGGCTTTGTAGGGTGTCCTAATGCAGGAAAATCTACATTATTAAGAAGTTTAACAAGAGCTAGACCTAAAGTTGCACCATATCCATTTACTACCCTACAACCACATATTGGAATGTTACATTTTCCAGAAAATTATAATCTCACTTTAACTGATTCAGTAGATGATAATGATAATCTCGATATATCAAATCGAACTCATTCTATAGCTAGTAAGTTGTACATATTTATTTTTTTTTATGCGATTTATAACGTTTTCTGTTTCCGATTTTTGATTTCAATAGTGTTTGTAGTGTGACTAAAATTAATAAGAACAAACCAGTTATAATTGAAATGGCTTTCATTTTCTCTTTAGGTGGACTCTAAGATAAGTGTGTTTCAACCCATTCGTATTGGCTGTTTGAGTCTCCCCTATTGTAGTGAACAGAACACGGGTGGGGGACAATCGAATGTATTTAACACGACAATTACAGACTATCTCAATAAAATCTGAATACCATATAGTAAATTGTCAATTTGCAAAATATTCATGCATCAAACCAAACTGGACTGTTTCTGTTGCAAACACTAATCCATTGTCTCCCATTTCATTGTTCATGCGTTTTCTTACAAATTCCATTGTGTTCTCGCTCTTCCTTTCTTGATATTCCCCATTTTCTGCTGCCAGACATCACGTTTTTTTAACTCACGTTATATACTACTCATATCAATATAAGTAGCACACACCACACTCGTCCCCCCTTTAAAGCAGTCGTTCTTGCGGTGGTTCATGCTCGCCGTGCAACATTCTCCGTCTCTGCAGTCTGTGCCACGCTCTCTGTCAAAATGTCGAGTCTGCGGCGCGCTGACTTCCATAGCTCCGTCGACCTGCCGGGGCAACAACAACCGACATCCACCCGGCACCTGGGACGCTTGACACCCGTACTCCACCGGCCTGCTGAGCCATCTACATCCGATGTCCGCCCAGCAGCCGCGCGTCCTACCGCTCCTCTTCGTCGACAGCACCCGCTACAGCCAACGCCGTCCCGCCAGAACACTCCACCAGACGCCACTCCTCCTCACCAAACTGTCCCAACTGGCACCTCAGCTCCAGGCCCGCAACGGCGTCCGCAGAACACACCCTCCTCCTCTCCTGGTTGGCAGCGACACCAAATGTTTGCAACAGAAACAGTCCAGTTTGGTTTGATGCATGAATATTTTGCAAATTGACAATTTACTATATGGTATTCAGATTTTATTGAGATAGTCTGTAATTGTTGTGTTAAGTACATTCGATTGTCCCCACCCGTGTTCTTGTTCACTACATTTGGTGTCGCTGCCAACCAGGAGAGGAGGAGGGTGTGTTCTGCGGACGCCGTTGCGGGCCTGGAGCTGAGGTGCCAGTTGGGACAGTCTGGTGAGGAGGAGTGGCGTCTGGTGGAGTGTTCTGGTGGGACGGCGTTGGCTGTAGCGGGTGCTGTCGACGAAGAGGAGCGGTAGGACGCGCGGCTGCTGGGCGGACATCGGATGTAGATGGCTCAGCAGGCCGGTGGAGTACGGGTGTCAAGCGTCCCAGGTGCCGGGTGGATGTCGGTTGTTGTTGCCCCGGCAGGTCGACGGAGCTATGGAAGTCAGCGCGCCGCAGACTCGACATTTTGACAGAGAGCGTGGCACAGACTGCAGAGACGGAGAATGTTGCACGGCGAGCATGAACCACCGCAAGAACGACTGCTTTAAAGGGGGGACGAGTGTGGTGTGTGCTACTTATATTGATATGAGTAGTATATAACGTGAGTTAAAAGAACGTGATGTCTGGCAGCAGAAAATGGGGAATATCAAGAAAGGAAGAGCGAGAACACAATGGAATTTGTAAGAAAACGCATGAACAATGGAATGGGAGACAATGGATTGGTGTTTGCAACAGAAACAGTCCAGTTTGGTTTGATGCATGAATATTTTGCAAATTGACAATTTACTATATGGTATTCAGATTTTATTGAGATAGTCTGTAATTGTCGTGTTAAATACATTCGATTGTCCCCCACCCGTGTTCTGTTCACTACACTATGATATTAGAGTCCCGGAGTGAACAATTACTCTGGGATGCAAGTAAATCTACCTGATAAGTCCTAAATAGGGCGAAACACCCGTTCTATATCCCACTGTTAGCCACCACCCATCTCTGCTTATGGTGCTTGTGACTTAAAACACTATCAATGCAATCCTCACTTGATGCACATATGAAAATAAGAGATCGATCAATTACAGTCCTAAACGTCAATGGGAAGATTCATACAATCAATACAAAAATGAATTAAACTTCACCCCATTGCACAAACTAGCGGCTATCTGGACTCAGTAGCTAAGTAGATAACGTGATGGCGTTTGAGGCGGATGGTACAGGGTTCGAGACAATAAAGAGTGTGATTCGAAAAGGAGAAACTAATTCACAGGGTGAAACGTTAAGTTATTTTGAAACACATGATTTAAATAAAAAGCGGATACGTCTGCGTTATGACTAATTCTGAACCACATCCAACTTCGCGAACCATTGATCATTTTAGTAACACGAACCTTAACGAAGTTGTTCATACCTACTGAAACAGCTCTAACCAGAAGTCTGTGACTTGGTAGGCTTATGCTACTTTTTTTAGGGTGCAACATAGCTTTTTTCCAACTTGATTTCATGCCAGGCAACATTAGCTGAACTGTTGAATTACTATCGTTAATACTGATCTGCTGTTTCATTTTGGTTTACAAATACTACCAAACAATATGCACCAACGGTCATACGCAAAATCAAATTCAGGACGTTTAGGTCTCACAGCGAGTACAATACCACTTGATTGTGCAAGTCAGCGTTAAACGCCCAATTATTTCAATTTCAATCTAGCCTTAGATTACTCCAAAGACCACAGCTAGCTAATTGGACTTCAGGAAATCCGTCTTAGAATTATCCCTTAGTAAAGCATACTATGTTGTCCGTTTAGCTAGTTCAAGAGAGATTTTCCCTGTGCATTATAAATTAGATTTTCATTTCTTAACGATATGCCAGTTCCAACTGATATTCTACTCTATTTATTTGATTCTTACGAATAATTAGATTACTAATATGTTGATTTCTAATTCTAATTTCAGTTGCTGATCTTCCAGGTCTTATTCATGGTGCTGCTGAATATAATAAAGGTTTAGGAATCGAATTTTTAAGTCTCGTCGCTGATTGTTCCATACTAGTTTATGTCATTGATTATGGAACATTGTGGTGTGATCATAATGTAAATCAGTTGGATGAAATAGAAAATGAACTAATTGATCAATTATCTATGCTTTATTATGAAGTGACCACTTATGATAGAAATCTTTGCAATCAGGATAAGTGTTTTATATTAGGCAGTAAATTAGATTTAATTTTTCCAAATAAAATAGATTCAAGTGAATCGAATGTTGATAATACAGATGGAAATGCCATACTTTTTAGAAAATTACACCATATATTGCATAAAGCTGCTTGTTCGGTTTCTATGATTAAGGATACACCGGAAAGTATAGACCAAGTAATGCTCGTTTCAGCCAAACGGGGTGATAATATTCTTCACTTGGCGTATAAACTTTGGAATTGTGTACAGAATATGAAAGATAAAAAGAACTAATTTACTTCTCTGTATAGTTGTATATTCTTACAAACATATTTTTTGTATGAAACGATGCTTATTCGATCTTTCCTACGCAAATACTAGTGTATAAAAATGACTGTGAATCCTAATTAAATGAGATTTATACTCATGTTTTGTATTTTATTAACTATTGATAATTGAAAATGCCCTGGAGTGCTCTCACTATGTAAATTCTGAGGATCGTGGGTTCATTCAAGTTATACTAATGTCTGACCAAACTATCCTGAAGTATTTAGTAGGTCTACAATTATTATGTTGTTCGTCGAACCTATATCGAGATAAGCGACCATTAGTACACAATATTCTCGATTTAACCTAACTCATAGCAGCTGATTCCTCGCTATTTGACTGCAATAAATGATGCCCCATTAACTGGGTATTGTAAGCAAGCCAATTCTCTTAGTGGTACTGTAAATTTACTCGAGAATATTCAGAAGCCAGTACATCATTTGTATGGATTGTTTATTGTTAAGCATTTGTAAAATCCTGTAAGCACAGGGAAAAATGGGTGTGTGTGAGTGTTAAAAAATCCATATTTATTTATGAGTGCTAGTCGGTTGTGGGTAAATTATTATCTGTGTTTGCAACCAATGAGAGGACAGATGAAGATTGACGTACATAATTGTGTTCAGTTAGGCCCACACATAATTTTACATAGCGGGTCGAGCGTCCAAATTGCGGCAAGTAAACAAATAATGAAGGACTACTCATTAGGCTTATTTTATTCACATATAATTCTCATCCTCTAAAAATGTTTCTCGGACTTTCAGAACCACCTTATTACACATCATTGATGTGTCCAATACCTTCTAGCCCCCTCATGATGGCGCATCGGTTGGTGTGCTTTTGATGTATAACTTACGAGCAGTTGACGTGAGACCTACCACCACTATTAGTAGAGGTATTGTTCAATTAAATGGGTGTTACAGTATGGGCACAAATGCCAATTAGAAACAATAACTTACTCATATACCACCTTATGCTTATCTCCGTATGCGAACGGAGGTTAAAAGTTGGTTGTTACGTATTGTTCTGGTTCTAGTTTGTGTACGGTTGTGAGCAAGCATATGGTTTGCCCATACTTCCAACCAATATTAGATAGGTGTTCATAACCAAGCTAGAATTATAATGTGTAATCGCAAGTGCTGCACATTTGAGTACAGCCCAATTTTTCGAAGCCACACAGGCTTGCTCCCGACTCGCAGAGGGTATCAAGTAACTAGTTTAATTATTTGCTCCAGATAGAGTTTGACTTGGCGCTCAGTTAGCTCTGGAGTTTCACTGAGTACGTTAGCGAAATAACGGCAGTATCAGTACGTTCCTCCCTAAATGAAGTGCAATACATACACCCTTACATTTCATAAACTAGATGACAGGATTTTGACTTCGTGTATACATATGTCAGTAACTGTGATTACAAGTGGTGGGGCTGCGGACCCGCGGCATATGAACCTAACAACTCATGCGGTTCTGGAGGAACGGGGCTGTAAGAAAGCACACTTATTCCTTTTTCCCTTCGTGAAGGAATATAGACCGCCCACCAGCATCCTCTATCCAATTGCCACTCATCCTTTTGGTATCTACTGACAGCGCAGTGTGCTCTGTTGTCGTTTCTGCATTTCCCTTCAGGATTACAAGTTAGCGTTTGCCTCGTGATGCAGTTAAGTAACTTCTGCAAAGTCTGTCCTATCCACTTCCAACATCTTTTCCTGATTTCCTCTTCAGGTGGAAGATGGTTTGTTTTCTCCCACAGTAGGCTGCTGCCGATAGTATCCAGTCAACGAACATTGAGTATCTTGCGTAGACAAATCGTACTGAAACTATAAGGAGTAAAAGGAAATTTTTTACATGAACTAGAGCGTATAGTTAAACCTATTCAATAATGTAACAATATAATCTCGTTTTGCGAGTGGATGTACGCTTTTATATTTCGTTAAGAAACCAAAGTAACAACTTGAATGAGTAGGTTGAAATTCTAGTTAATGCTTCTAAGAATTGCATACACGGTGGGAGGGCCTGCTTACCACGACGAACCTGCTTGTTCTTAGCTCCTAAAACTGCATGCTATAACTTTCGTTTTGTCTTAAGCGAGTTCAAAAAGAAGAACAAGATACGTTATGTCTAACATCACGTCTTGGGGTTTTATATATTATAACTGAACAGCCTATTAATCGACAACAAAGTGTTGGTATGAAGCACAACTGCTCGTGTTTATCTCTTTGCAGTCGCAACAGCTAAAGTTAGCTGGTTAAGAGTTTACTAACTCCTAGATGGCTTCATGAATATAGCTGCCTCACTATTATACGGATATGAACATCAAGCCAATCAAATGGTTATTCTTTAAAACTCTGATTACGCTTCCGAATGGGTTTTGCAGGAATTTTGAGAAATTTCAATAGTTGAAATCATGAGTCAATTGAAGCCAGACCACCATGGAAAACCTGGAAGCACTTGACGGCCGTTTCGTCCTAGTATGGGACTCCTCAGCAGTGCACATCCACGATCCCGCCTCCCGAGACATTCGAACCCAGGACCTACTGGTTTCGCGCGTGAGCACTTAAGCATTAGACCACTGGGTCGGCATCCAACGGTGTTAATGTCTAACTTCAACCAATCCACGAAGTTGCGCCACCGTACACCATTGTCTTCAGTGAGTTGATATCTAACAACAGACCTGGTTGAACTCCACTGCTCACGACTTCTCACTAGAACTCCAGAAGTGTGCGTTGCGGGATCGTGGGCGCGCACTGCTGAGCAGTCCCATACTAGGACGAAACGGCCGTCCAGTGCTTCCAGGTTTTCCATGGTGGTCTAGCTTCAATTGACTCATGATTTCAACCAGTATTTTTAGTTTTTCTCATTTTGTTTTGATTATTCCTAGTCAGAGGTTGGTCCCTGTATATGCAGTTACGAAACACGTCATAAAATGGGCAGTGATTTAGTACTTTTTGTGTTTACCTTTAATTTTCGTACTTATTACATCGGAATGCATTTTTGGTCCGCTTTAACTTGAGATATTTCGGTTAGGGTTCGAAATTTTGTGATGCCTTCTTTCTCATTGACTCTGACACTTGTGCTCATATTGTGTTTTAAACATTCTTAATCTGATTACAATGGTTCGCAGTACTTACAAATGAGGGCACCCAAATTTTTATACCCCATGAAGGAAGGGTGCAATGTGATGAGTCTAAAAAGTGGTTTCATAAGATGTGTACCCATCTAAGTCCCACCGAATAGAAAGATGCTCTGAGCCTAACTCACATTGACTCTGCATGTTTTGCTGTACGCATAAGACACTATTGATTTAAGAGTCTATGAGCCACTTATCTTTGGCCTGCAACGAGGAAGATGGTGATTGCGTTGGTAACACGAGTACTGACAGTGCAGAATGTGTCAGCGTAGTACGTGCTGCTACGTGACGAGATAAACAACCGACCATGATTGACAGAAAAGGGAAATCTCCGTTGAAACTGAAGAGGAGTGAAGTGCCACCTGATATTGACATGAGTAGAAATTAAAGACCCGGATAAATTCGACACCGTTCCAGATAATCCAGGTATGGTTGTCCTGAGTCATGAAAAATGGATGGCAATACGGATAAAAAGAAGTGAAAAAATTTTATAAACGACACACACTTGGTTGGCATGTCATTAGTGAACTATCATTCTGAGTCACACAATACACTACCAAAGACTGGTAATAAGACAGGACTCCATCAAGGAGTGGCTGAGAAGAGTTTAATCTCGTCGAATGTCATTGTGAGTAATTTGCAAGAATCAAATTACTATGATCCCTAAACCGGGGGATTTATCCGTAGTATCTTACCAGATGAAACTGAAGGAGTTTAATTCGAAAAATTTATACGAGTAGGTAAGAGGACCGACGAAAAAGTTAAACTCCGACCATGTGGACTCCTTAAGATAATTCTAGTGTCGGAGAATCAACGTTATCTTCTGCTTGATAGCACTCGTTGTCACGACAGTACTGACATTCGAGTAAGAACTGATATACCTCTAGAAGATATAGTAAAAAGGAAGTCGGCGCTAGCTGAACTAGGAACCCGTCGACAAAATATTCAAGAAAATCTCCGGTAGTGGGTTCTCGGATAGTCAGGCCTTGCAAGCGAATGCTACGAAGCTCTATGTGGATAGGTCGTTCTTCCTAGGAGATTCATATGCAAGTGTTCTTAGCCTAGGAAATAAATTCTATGAACTGGGAGCATTAGTGGACAAATTAGGGCCACTTATTGTGGCTGTGACAGAGACTTGTTTAGTCCACTACTTCGTCATTACTCCAGAATTATCAGGTTAACACTACCTAGGAAGGGATATAATGTATATGTGTAAAAGGAGATTTCGTCCTTTTATACATAGCCAGTAATGTAAATATCCGCTCCTCCGCTTGCGTATCCCATGATAGTGGAACTTGTGAAGTCATTAGCTATGAACACAGGGTAGTCTGAGGTATACTAGAGTAAGATAATGGAAAAAAGTTGAGGTGTCTCAGTCTGTCTTCATAAGATAGGCAAGATGGACATTTTACCATTTTAATCCCTCGTCGTTGAACTCGTTCTAGCATATTTGCCTCATACTTGAAACAAGGACTCGGTACTTGAATCACATATTCCAAATGCGGTCTAACGAAAGTCAAGTATAATAATTTAAATATTTCTTCATCCAAATACTGAAAAGACCTACGAATACCCATATCCTTTTGCAGCAGCAGCAGCCTATCAGTTACTTGTGGTTTTGAGATCGCTGCTTATTATGACTCCTAAATTCTTATAGCCCATTACTTCATGTAACAAAAGTCAGTGGATTGTGCAGTGATACGAATCGTAACAGTTATTCAAGTGCAGCACCACACTTTTTAGAATCTACCTTATCAAAGGCTTCACTCTGATCTATGAAAAATACATCTACAGAAATATTCCGGTCTTTTGCCTCAGCCCGATATTCTCTCGCAATGAGAAGATTTATCAGGCATGATATACCTTTCCAAAAATGACGGAGAAAATTCGTAGCCCAGGTAGATTATTTTGGTGGATTTTTTTCCCTGAGCTGGATGGTTTGGTCTTGCTGGATAGTCTAGCTTGGCCTTATGAATTATCGGTGATATATAGCCTAGATTATCGAATGTCATATTAATGAGGCTAGTAGTGGTTTGTACATTGTATAATGAGAAAAATCGGTTATGTCATTTTTCTCATTTGGTTATGTTAAACAGCAGTTTGTTTTTTCTTTTCGTACTAATCATGAAGGGTTTCAACTTTCGGTTTAAGAGTTGTGGTGTAAAGGCGTATACCACATAGAAATCACGCGTGTAACAGACTTGTATCACATACTGAGAGAGTTGTGTATAGTGCATTTTTATTTTAGAATCACAAGCAAGCTTCTTCCAGAACTATATGTTACATAACTCCATCGATGAGTGAGTGACTTAACGAAAATTTGTTGATTTAATCAACTTCATTACTGGTCACTCTGAGTTTGGTTTCTTAATTCCACACTGAAAATCTTCATCCATTCCCTTGTTTGTGCCCTTGAATTTTTGTTCGTTTGTTTGTTCTCAAAGTCTTAACACTTCCTACACGAGCCCCAGAATTTAAGTGCTTTAGAGTCATGCAAAATGCTTCTCACTTTGATTATGTAGTTAACAAGTTACCAAGTATTTTGTTAGAATCGTCTTCAGCGACCAATAAGGAAGGATTTCCGTGAAGCATTCTCAAATCCTCCAGATCCAGGATAGACGGTCTACAATCGGAGATGAGTAATTCACAGTATGGTATTGGACACAAATGAGCGCATTATATTTGGAATTCGTAAGCAGTGAGGAATCAAGTACCAAGGAGTCATTATTGCACAAATACTGCAGACATACCTCATTTGACTAATATCTTCTTTTGGGATGAGGGCCAGGTCATAGATAAGAGAAGAATTCTGGAGATTGTAGCAAACAGTATCTTTGATTTTCTAAACAGCAGACTATGACATTAGGGTTCCTTACTGCTTTTGATCAAAGGAGTTCATCGACCACCTCATTTCTGAGTCAAACTGTTTGAATGAATGTGCATTGAAGTTAGATACTGTAGAGCTTCTGTTGTTGCTTAATCTTGACAGTCTTATTGAGCAGACAGTAAATTCGTTTACCAGAAAGACTGTCCGAGTTAGGCTTTTTCCGTCTAGACTCTTTGTTCATTTCCATCACTGTAACAACAATTTAATACAGTAGGCAAGACAGAGATCAACGGAGATCCAGATACCACAAACGCAAGTTATATAGGAGATCTCTTTTATATGAGGTGGCAAATATCACTCCTCAAAGACGAACCCGATAGTGACTTGTGCAATTTATTTTCATTCATATTCTTCATTGTTGTAAGTACTGACTTCTCATAACGTATACATATATAAAAGTCAAGTAAGGTACCTTACATGATAAGTAAATTCGGGAAAGTAATTCGTTTTGAAACGGACGTGTTTCCTACCTAATCTAGTCGTGTTCACAACAGTGTTTTAAAGAATAGAATAAAATATATCAGTTTATTAAGGGCAGGGCGCTATGTTTAAGAAGGTTGTTTTGGAGGGACGGTCTTCATCGTTTTGGTGATTTCGTGATATACTTTAGACATTATGTGATGTAAAATAAATTGTTCGTAGAGCTATCATTATTATAGTATAACATTTTGGAAAGTAGAAAGTGTTAAAATTTTAGTACGTAAACAAGTTACTGCTCTTCGTGTTAGTATTTCAAACATTTTGCCATTCACTTGCTGAAGATCCTCATAGTCAATATTCAGGTTTATTCTTGTATGTTCATTAAGGAGTGATTTCAATGTTCCGTAATTCAGATGATATACTTGTAGACTTCATACGCATTGAAGATCGAACTACTACTACTCTTAAGAAACTAGTCACGAGATTCTTCCGGACGGCATCCAGACGAAGTTTAGAATTATTTGTATGAAGTCTACATCTATTTCCGTGTGTTTCATTTAACAAAGTGCCTTTTGGATCTTTAGTTTGAAATGTATCACTGCATTGCTTCGTTACAATCGTGGCACCATATTATATTCTAGTGACCATAGATCTTAGTACGGTTCTGTTTAGTAGGTAATAATTCATTTAGGGGTTTGCAATGCCGTTAACCTTTTAAAAGTGCGTAGTTAGTGTGTTTATGCCGTTGCTTTTTAGATTACAATAAGGTAACTTGATACGCTTTGGTACATAATTGCTATTTGTTCTCTAATTGTTAGAGTTACTACCGACTAAGTTTTTTTGGATACAGTTCTTGTCTCAGTAAACTTGGTCTGCCAATGAACTCCAGAAAAATAGCTCTGTTACAATATCACGTATTAATGTATTTTCTTTCTCACCCACTGTGACATTCCCTATCCCCCTCGTCTTTCCACTCACAAACGTGAAACAGTTGGTAGCAGTAATTTAAATTGTCTCGTAAGATGACAGGCACATTTTCTGTTGTTTATCACTGTCAATGCTAGCTTATATAACTTTCATCCAGTGAAGAATGATCCATTTTATTGAGCGGTTCAGACGTAAAAAATGCCAGGCAAATGAATAACATCAAATAAACAAAATCACCTCAAAATCGTTTAACTCTATTAATTAGTGTTCTTTATCCTCATTTCATCGAGAAGAGTTCTTGTTTTTGAATCTAGGCTGTGGCTATTCAAATGGACTAGCGTTAGTTACTCATTGCATTACTCAGTTTGTTCGGCTGAGCCCTATATCTCTAGACTGGTACTGGACTCCTGAAGTGGAAACGGCTAAGAGGAATTCAGAACAACAACTTGAGCATCCTTAAATCTCCCACCTAACTAATCATACTCTTCATCCTAGGTTTTCAACATAACTTTAAGATACGATTTTCGTGTCTCAATAGGCATAAAATTCTGTATATGCATATAGGGTGACTTGCTTGACATGCACGGATAGTAAGTTTAGCAAATAATAGAGGAATAAATAAAACCATGTGTTTTCTATCAGTAGGGCCCGATTTTTGACAAAAAAGTTGAGAAAGTTTAGCCCATCTTATGTCTCACATTAATTAGTAAGGACACAGGAGACTTGTCTAATTTGGCTTTTAAAGTTTTTGTTTACACGGGATTAAGTATGAGTCGTAAACAGTAGATAGATTGCCATTAATGAAATTTTTACACTAGAATCTGATTTAATGCAGAAAAATTCACTACACGTGCCTGTACATAAGTTATATTTTTAAATGCCTCATCATGTATTAATTCACATATATTTCGTTCTGTTCACTTTCGTTGTAAAAACAAATCGCTGTTGTTTTTTATTCTCTTTTACACAGATCCCATTCATAATTTAAATGAAATGTTCCGCAAAAGCTTTCTTGCTTGGCATTTTAGTTTAATTCTGTTAATTGATAATTCAAATGGTTCAGATGTTGAATTCGAATTCCCCCCCAGTCCTTACTCATCAGACTTCAAGAAATGTGGACTCGACAAAAAGGGATACGTTTGTGATCCTGATAAAATTCTTGACTATTCTGCTAGTGAGTTACCTCAGTTTCGTTGTCTTTTTTTAACATGAAAATCTAGTGTTCATCGTGTTTAGACGTTAAACGTTAATAGTGACTTTGTTTATAGAATAACTTCCCCCATTTTTCTCTCTTTTAATTTCCTGATATCGAGTTACAACATTTCAGGAAAATACCTGTCAAGTATGTTCTAACCTAATAAAATGATTTTTTAAAAACTCGTCACATGTCAAGAACATAGCCAGAAGATGGTGAATCAGACAATGAGGTTGTAAATCTTCATCAATTGAGATGTTTGGGCCACGTGTTACGTATTCCTGAACACCGATTATCACGACACTCAATGCTGACTAGTGTTGGGGATGGTTGGAGAAAAGTTAAGGGTGGCCAAACCAAAACGTGGTACCGGTTCACAAAGTCACTAACTTCTGGTCTCTGTCATGTTGGTAGATGCAGACTACTTGGTTGGGATCCACGTGACTATCGTAACAATGGTTGGAGACTCTGGGTGACATGGCTCAGATTCGGTTACAACAGCGTCAGTGTATACACCCTTTGTCTTCCCTTAAGTCGTGAGATTAAAATTACTTTATACTTTTCTAATTCTTTCTCCCTATACTATATCCTTATACACAATCTCTTATATATTACTACCATTAAAGTAACTACTTTATGAATTTGGTGTTCATCTTGTTGTGCTTATGAGGTATGGTAACTTGGATCGATGCATATATGTGCCTGGTTCTACATTGTAGCTGACTGACTGACATAGCCATATCTTTCGATTCTCTTTAAAAGTATTCTTCAACTTTCTGACACTTTCAGTGTGTACATACGGATTTAAAACCATATGTCCATATAAAACATATCAAGCTTGTGGTACCTCTTTACTTTCATTACGACTGATTCTTTGAAAATGAGCTAATCGGTATGTTTGCACTTTTCTCTCACTCGAAATGTGAACCAATTCGTTAGAAATCTATAATAACGACAATAATATTAAGAACGTTTTTGCAGGGGTACGAATATAATTTTAATCTAGTCACTTCATTTTCTTCTAATCATTATGTCTCTGGTTGAGTAGTTTTTTCTAGTTTCTCTGAATCAGTTCTTAGAACTTTAGGTTAGTAAAAATATCCTTGATAAATTTCGTTGTTTTAGTTTCCTCTCGTTATAAAAGACTCATAGTCTAATCTTTGTTAATCTATTCGAAAATATTAACGCAACCAGTTAGTACGTCTTAGTTCAACTAAGTGAGCGCACACAATTACTCTTTAAACATATTCCCATAATACTCTTTACCTAATCCTCAAACTAAACAGACAACATGGAGACAAAGCCTGGACTACGACTTCGACGGATACATTTTATGAGGAAATGTCATTTTTTATACAGGAATTTTTTCAGTAAATATTGAGTAGGTGACGACTACCTGGCTGTGGTCTGCGTGATTATTATAGACGACGGTTATACACTGAGTAACATGAATCAAAACCGCTCACAATGTCACAGGTGCATCCACTTTTTATCTCCCCTTAAATCCAAAGCTTGTTAATTCCCGTATAAAATGTTTGTACCATTAATCCGTATTATCTTATCGAATCGTAAATTTCGATGCCTAGTCTTTTCTGATGTCACTAATAATGTTACTATCTATATCACTAGGATTTGCCCTAACAATTCCATCTCACTTTGTTAATGAGTTGTGACAACATAAGTCTGTGTAAATATGTTCCAGGTTCTACGTCGCGTATGACTCTGAAACGCAGTTGAATATTTGTAATTTAAAAACGAACTTCACACTGAACAAATGTCACAAACTGAGTGAATACAATAGAAATTATCAGGTTGCAAGAGGATAACATACTGAACTAATTAATGACTGAAATTTTCAAAGTATAATCGAACGTTAAATTAAATGATTATCATATTAAATTAACCAATAATCTTACTCTTGATGTCGGGATCATGTCAACATGTCCATTTATGTAAATTGGCAAGTGAACCAGTTTCAGGCCAAACAAAGAGCAAAGAATTTTGCTAATCTAATTTAAAATTATTTAGGCGTTATATATGAATTTCATTGATATATTATATTTTTGTATTCAATGTGTTAATGGTTCTGAAATACTGGAAAAAAGTAAGAATGTTTGATATGCGTTTAACAACTGCTAAATGTAGAATGATAATTGATATGCATAAATATATAGTTGAAAAATACTTATGTGAAGTCGCTGAATTTGTTAACTGTTTCATTTACTTGTGGAGTTACACCAATCTAGGTATCCTATTCCTTAACAAATATCTATGTGGCACAACCTACATCTTATTTGAGTTAGGACATATTTATTTTTTGGCCGGTAAGCTACATTGATACATCTGCTCACTTATAAGTCCTTGTTAAAATTTCTAATGTTCTTATACCGACGTTTAAGATTGTTTTCAGCTTTATAATATATATTTTAGATGAGATACATAAACGTGTTTATTTCTCATAATAAATTTATTGGTGTAACACATAAAGGATAGTGTATTGTCATCAAGTTATATACATTATGTACGTACTTACTCGTAGTTAACATGCAAATTATATTAGGTTAAAAGAAAACGCCTCATTTTATCTAGATTTCAGGGGTGCCAACATTATATCATCATAAATAAGGAGGCTACTCAATAAATGTGAACTCATTTCTTTTCACACCATGAATAATAATTGATTGATGAGTTCACAACTGAAAATTTTCATAATTTAAAACGTCCTGTGTGAATTTACATAGTTTTCATAAATTTTATTTGAAGAAAATTATTATTGGATAAAGATATGTAATCTTAAGTTATGTATGACATGCAAAAAGTAGTGCCGATGAACTGACAGACAACCAAATTAGTAGTAATCTATTATATATAACAACTAGCATTCCATCGGATTGATATAAATCATTGCCTAGTTGTAAGTTTGTACACTTGATGTTTAGCCACACTTATTGTTTTAAGGCCAGGTATTATTACATAACAGCTCGGATTGATGTAATGTTTGAATTTATTAACTGAATAATGTCAAGATTGTCCCACTACAACTTTAGAGTAATCAAAAATATACAGAAATCGGCAAAAAATCATGGTTTTAGATTTCATATATTCTAAGCGAAAGTTTCTAAGACTAATCAACATTTTCAGTATTATGAGTTTACTACAAATTGTTATATCCGGAAGACAATAAATGAATGGTAACGATTAGGAATTACTTATGGACTAATATTATACGAATATTCCTATTGTATGGCTATTAAGTGACTGTGTTATATGTATATTCATATTCCTTTCATTATAAGCTTTTATTTGACCTATTCGTTACTGTATATGATTTACTATTCTTGAGATATTCCTAATTTACTAGTAACAGTTTCTCACAATCACAGTCACTTTTGGCTAGATCTTTTGCAAATGTTATTTTCTACTTTATGGTGTGTGGTGGTCTGATTTGTTTGTATATAAACCCAGTATGTTTGAAATATATGATTCGTATAGCGGAGGTTGATATTGGCGTTCTGGACTTAACAGGCATGGTTAGGCGGAAGAACGACCAATCAGAACTTTAGGCTGCCCATATTGGTGTATACGTCATTAGTTTGTTCATATAAGTCAGGGTATCTAAATTGGCAATCGTATGTCTTCGCTATATTCGTATAAGCTAAGGACATAACACAAATGTTATTCCTTCATTAAAGCATCAAAAGATAAAATGTTTGAAAGTTCTAATTACTGAATAAACATTTTTTTTTTCGCTCTACATTTAAAGAAAGCAATGTAATTTTGAGTTTACAGCTAGAATTTTAATTTTCAAATTAAACCATGTAGTAATTTATTTTTGATTCGATTAAACTTAAACCAACAAATCATTCCGTTAACCTTAGACTCAATAAATTAATCTCCTAATCACTATATCAAAGCAGTAGCAATAATAATAATGATAATGCCAATATCAATAGTGTTGTTTAGTTCTTGTGCTCCATGTTCTTCTTCTTCTCCTCTTACTCATATTTTAAACTTGTTACAAATGATAATTCATAACCTATTCTCTAAATTAAAATTAATAAAAAGCTATGGCATAATCCTTGTTTTATATTTTTAAGGAATTCATTAGTTAGTATGTAATAGGTTTTCATCTTATCCTCATGTGTTAATTCATCACATGATTAAGTCATCTGTTAGATGGTAGTGACATTTATTATACGTATATATGTATATGCAAAATATTTACATAAACAAAATTAAAGACAACGCAACATTTTTCTTTGAAGGACATCATTGATTATAATTCATTCTTGTAGAGTATTCCATATTATTGGTAAGTAATGTTAATTAAATACCGATATCCAATCTGTTATTATTATTATTATTATCAACACTACCACTACCACTACTATTAAAATTTCGTAAAAAATGTATGCAAGTGTTCGGTTCTAATTTGGGAAGGAAGTTCATTGAATGATATGGGGATACAGACTAATAAATAATCATTATGTAATTTTTGTTATATTCTATTTAGATTATTTTTCTATTCGTCCATTGTGTTAATAAGTGATAATGACGTGTAACTTTATAACTGTACATAGATATGTGTATTTGGCTTAAAGTCATAGTTGTTCATGTATATGTTAAGGGTTAAGTTACTACCCTATTATTGCAACTGAGAAAAACGATTGATGTCATGAATGGATCGATTTTAGGCCACCACTGAAAACCTGGAAGCACTGGACAGCTGTTTCTTCCTAGTATCATGTGCTCACTAGTGACTAGCTGCAAGATAGATTTTCTGGAGTTCTAGCGAGAAGCCATGACCAGTGGAATTCAACCGTGTCTGTTGTGGGGCAGTTACTCACTGAGAACAGTGGTAGACGGTCGCACAGTATCGTGGATTGGTTGAAGTTAGACATTAACGCCGTTGGATGCCTGGTCAGTAGTCTAGAGTCTAAGCGTTCGCGTGAGAGACTAAAGGTCTTGGTTTTGACTCTCGATTGCGGGGTCGTGGATGTACACTGCTGATGAGTCCTGTACTAGAACGAAACGACCGTCTAGTGCCTTCAGGTTTTCAATGGTGGTCTTACATTGATCGATTCATGATATTAATCAAAACTCAACAATCTCCACAACCCTACACTGATGATGAAAAAAATGATGTTTGTCGTAGACCTACAACCCTACTGTTAGATATTGAGTATTTCTACCTGTCCAGTACAATGTTTTAAAATCATTTAAAATCAAAGGTCACAAGTTAAATTCTAATCACTGTTCAAATGACATAGACGTGGGATGGTGGAGAAGATTTGTAGCTCAGGTGGATGATTTTGGTGGAGTTTTGTTCTCTGAGCTGGAAAACAAAACTCCACCACAACATAGACGTGTTCTAATACTTTAAAGTTATTTGAATATTGGTATAGTTAACCCAGTAGATTATAGATGAAGTCATTCTGCCTAATTTACATTTCAAGCTCCATAAAATCTCAATGATTGCAAACTTATACACAGGTTTAAGCGTGGCTTATTTTTGTAACTAAAAACTAGAATAAAAAAATCGTTAAGATTTTCTCAGGTCATTTCGATTTTCTTCTTTTTCATGCTATACTTCACTTTAAACACTTGAAATTACCATTTATAATTACTATACTTATCTACTCTAATGCTTGGATTCACTAGTTTAAACTATCATATATATATATATATATATATATATATATATATATATATATATATATATATCACTGATTGCCTTCACAAAAGTAATTTAGTTAGAAATCAACAATTTAGAACCTGAGATACATGTACATCGATTTAACTAACCATACTGCATTAGTACAGCATGATGAATACTTAAGTAGTATTGTCAGTGTTTGAATAAAAAACAACCTATCAAACCAGATTTATAAATTTTAATCGTTTATTACTTATGATTTCCAAAGTTATCAACATTTCAAGATTCTCCCCCCCTTTTATTGTAATGATTTAATAGTTAGAGCTTTTAATTTTCAACTACTAGGGATTACAGATCTAAATGCCCTATTTTTTTTCTTAATTTCATTTTAACAGTGGGCTGAAATCACTAGCGCTTATACTAAAAATGTATTAATTCTTTTAAACTAAACATATTTTAGTTATATGCTTATTTGTTTCCGATCTATTCATTTTTGTTTTTATGAATTTTTTCTTGAGCATTACGGTTTATTTAAGAGGTTTTTTAGTTCCATTTTGTAGTGTTACAACTATAAGTGATTAATATGATTAAAGGTTAAACTCAACTATTGTCATTTGCTCCTACTATTTGCAAACCAAATAGCCACGAAGTGGTTCAGTATATTGCTACGTGTTTAGTGTACATTTCGAATATTCATATCTCAGTATTTTCAGATATTTTAGAATCAAATCGTTGGACCAAATTTTTTTTTTTAAATATTTTTGTAGGACAATCAATAAATGAATTGTTATTACATTATCCTCGAGAAACACCATGTTTATGTCGTCATCCGTGTTTTAGAAATGAAGTTAATCAAAACGCTAGACTTGTTGTAACAGCACTAGTTTCGAAACCATTTTCAAAGTAAGTTACTTAGTATTTTTGATGTGATAGATATGTATCTTTCTTTTTTTTACACACTTTCTGGTTTGCCGTTGCAGTTATCGATGCAGCAGTAATGTCATCATATTCCTCTTATCCTTGTTTGGACATTTCTTGCCATCTTCTTGCATAATACGATTCTGAAAATCAAATAAGATTAACTCCATTAATCGTGTATTTTTATTTTCTTTGGTTTTCGTGATTTTAAGGATTCATGTCGTGGGTTGGTGTTTAAAGTAATAGGATTTAGAGTAGTAAGCCTAATGTCCGAATCCCACTCTATCCGATAACATCACTAGCCTTCATATCACAAAAGTTTGGTCCTAAGCTGAACAGATAAGTCTGTACTTCATCAATAAGTTTTGTATAGAACTTCAAAGTTCTTTGTTTATTCCGCCAGCAAATAAGTATTACAAGGTGATGTTAACTAATCAATCACATTTTAACTTTTTAAATGTTTTTAATAATTAGCATTTAATCATGTTAGGTATGGCGATACGTCTTTCTTGTTGTTAATATATTCAACCTGGTCATTATTATCACTATTTTGAATAAACAGTGGTAATTAAAACTGAACGACACATCGTCATACAATTTTCCCCATTCTTTATATAGAAATGTGAACGTAGGTGAAACAACTCTCTAGTATTCACTAGTTTTACTCTAACCAGTACTAATCAGAGAGGAGGACCATCTTTGAAGTAAGTAAATATCTACTCAGTACAACCGGATAAGTTGTTTGATTGAATCTAATCAGCAATTAGGGTTAGACAAACTTATTGGTCACTATTCGCTAGTCAATCAAGTTTAATTATCTCGGTCCTATAAGATCTCAGTTGCAGCCGAAATAGCTCAATGGCAGCGTCTCAGTTTTTGGAACTGGGTGATAAGAGTTTTAAAATCACACAGACTTCATGAGTTCTCTCAAGATAACAGAAAAACCTTGTTGATGAGTGTCAACTAACACGAGACTTAGGTCCGACGCTTTTTGGATAGCTACCTAATATCTTAAAATCGTTCACTCAATACTGAGTCACCTATACTAATGGACCCACTGTAACTTGGTCGATAGGATTCGGTCAGTATTAGAGGGCTGAACATATGTAGCATTGGTCTCTACTCAGTAATTAATCAGTTGTACCATGACTAAATGATACTCTCGTGCTGTGATTATTGCTTAATTTCAAGATGGATCTATAGATGCCCTAGTCAGAACCTATGATAATTAGATTGGAAATGGATATTCTAAGCGCTTCAAAATGCAACTCACCAACTGAATATGATTATCGTGTCATTCATAATGGTGTTAAGTTTTAATCCCATATGAAATCACAAATTCATTTCGTTAAAAAACCAAAACCTGGGACAAAACACTTAATTCTTGATTTTCATTGATTGTTTAATTGTTGTTGGTTTTAAGGAAAAAATCGGACGAGACTATAATTTATAGGTGAACCAATCAGATTTAAGATAGCAGATCTTGAATCTGGGCACGAAATTCATTCACTCATTTGGCTGAATGCCATTTATTTTGGGATTATAGCTGATGTAAGTTCATGATGAAAACACTAAATCTAGTTCGTAAGCCTAACGTTCAACTGTAAATCGTAATCCTAATTCCTCACACTAATTCGTAACCCTAATAAAGTAGGTGGACCTCCTAAGATGATTTTAAAGTTGCCCAAAGGTCGTCCATAAATTATAATCTCATCAAGAATTGTCTTCAAACTGAAAATACACTTAGCTTATGAAAAGTGTTCTTCAATTATTGAAACTTTTCATTCCGCTTTTTTATTCTTGATCTTGAATTCAATTAAACTTGAATCGTTCTCATTGTTAAAGTAAAAATGCTTCAATTGTACAATATGCAAACAATATTCGAAATAAATGGAAAATTGGAGCATGCAATGGTAATGATGTTTTAATTTTAATCACAGAAAAAGCTGTAAGTTGATTATTATTATTATTATTATTATTATTATTATTATCATTGTTATTATTATTATTATCAGTATGGGGTCGTAGAGATTGCTAAGTTTTTTTATCAAAATCATGCATCGATCAATGTTAGACCTCCATTAAAGACCTGGAAGCACTAGACGGACTTTTCGTCGCAGTATGGGACTCCTCAGCAGTGCGCATCCACCATCCTGCACCAACGGGACTCGAACCCAGGACGATCGCGCGCGCGAACACTTAATCTCTAATCTACTGAGCTGGCATCCAATAATTTTAATGTCTAACTTCAACCAATACACGAAAATGCGTGATCATCTTCCATTGTCTGGGGTGGATACCTGTCTTTACTTGACGAGGATCGTGGAAGCGCACTGCTGAGGAGTCCCATATTAAAACGAAACAGCTGTACAGTGCCTTCAGGTTTTCAATGATGGTCTAACATCGATCGATTCATGATCTCAATTATTACTATGATCATCATTTAATTAAATTTCATTTTGTTTATCATTCATTATTTGTGAATATAAATTCCTATGATTTAAATTATAATCACCATACATGGTAAAATAAATTCACTGACCATATTCAAACACACGTATACTTGACGTTGTGATAGGTATTTTTTTATTTGTGATAATGACTAGTAGTTATGTAGTGTTTAATCCTACGTCAAGTTCACATCGATTGTTTTAGCTTCCGAACAAACCGACCTATTTATTCATGTTAAATCACATTTTGACTTTGTTAATTATTCACTTATTAACCTTGAGTGTTTTTATTTGAGCTTATGTGCTAATTACTCACATCTTATTCATTTCGTGTCTGTAACTTATTTTTGTCTAATTATAAATATGGAGTCTCGCTTTATCAAAACGAGTTGGCTCACTTGCCTTCTCCACTTCATTCTCCCGCTTTCTATTCTGAGTGTCTGTGTGGATAAACAGATCCTTGAAATAAATTCCTCTAACTCAATCCGTATTTGGCTTCTTATTACCGTTGTCACACAAACGGGGTTAGCCTAGGTTAATATACGGAGTTAAATGGAAGATTTATGTTCATGACTTACTAATACATCGATTCAAGTCGGAGTCAAATCAGCTGGCCACAAATGTGATGATTGTGTTCATCCGATACAGTTGAAGTCAGATACCGAGTATCAAAATGATACTATTCTATCTGTCCAAACTGTTCAATAATGGATGGAATAGATGTAATTTGAACTTACGAATTTAACAGTTAAAAACTAAAGGTTTCAATTGTTAAACCAGTTATTCTTTTCGTAAATATCAATACTAAGGTTGAACTTGATATCTTCAAATAAATTGATCACTGGGTAGAAAGTTAATAATAAATGTTTATTTTCCTTTTTTTGTTATATCCCAGTGACTAGAAAAATTGTATTTCTGACGTTTCTTGACTTAATGTAAACCACCTCTTCAGAATAAATCAATAACCGAAATAAAATTAACACAAATTTAAATAGTACAAAGAAAACAATGTAGAATATTTCTCGTACAATCGAAATCACGGTACGCTTGAGTATGTAAATATCACAAGTATGGTTGCCATAATCAGTTATTGGTTTACTCTAAAGAAATGGCTTACAATTAGGTCACAAAAATGTCAGATACAATATAATCTTTTTACTTATTGGGATATAGCAAACAAAAGAGAAGAAAATGAACATTTATTCACTTACATTTACTTACTTAATTTATAACAATACCAAGTGGATTCAAATTCACCCCATTGCACAAGCAAGTGGCTATCAGGACTCAGTAGCTGAGTGGATAACGCAATGGCGTTTGAAGAGAATGGTACTGGGTTCGAGTCTCAGAGTGAATATCAACTCTATGAGATGCAGGTACATCCAGCTGACTAGTCCCACATAGGACGAAACGCGCGTCCTGGATTCCACTGCTAGCCACTATCCATCATTGCTTAGAAATATCCTCTAGTTGAAAATCTTTGAATTCATTACTAAATTATTTTTCTGTATTTCACATTCAAAAAAATACATCGTGCAACTTTATTTGTTTTTGTGTTTGTGTTTTTTTTTCACATTTTTCTTTTGTTAACATGTAAATTTTTTTGATTAACAATCCATTTTATTTTCATGTCATTATTTTAAGACAATCTAGACATTTCAATTCTCTTATTCTATTCTATAGTCTATTCTAGTTGATGTATTGTTGTTTTTTGTTTTCATTGATTCCTGTGTTTATAACAAACCATTTAGTTTGTTTAAGAGTGATTTTATAATACTGTTTACTAAATTATATTGAAATAGTAGTATTTTCATTAAGCAGATGAACATATTCTGTATTGTAATGTTTTGTGATTATAAGTATAGGGTTGTTAAAGATTGTTGAGTTTCGTTGAAATCATGCATCGATAAATGTTAGACTATCATTAAAAATCTAGAAGCACTAGACGATTGTTTTATCCTATTACGGGACTGCTCCCGCACGCGAGAATCGAAATTTAGGACATTCGGTGTCTTACATAGACGCTTAACCTCTAGATCACTGAGCAGGCATTCACTGATGTTAGTGTCTAACTTCAAGCGAATCATGATATTGCACGATCATCTTCTATTGTCTTTGTTGGGTAACTGCTTTACACCCGACTATCCGTCCAGTACTTCCTAGTTTTCAACCGTGGTCTAACATTGATCGACTCATGATTTCAATGTATTGTGTTAATTGGTGATGCTGGTCAAAACTTCTAAAAGCAAACGAAAAAACTCAGCATTACTGTCAACAGACTGTAATTATTCTACAACATGGAAATGCATAGGAAGTCGTCAAATACAACATAAAAACGAAGTTGTATCATTGACTTATTATTTTAAATTGAGTTTCTGTACTGTGTCTCTGAATACAAACTGTTAGAAAATCCTACGCTAACTGGATAGACCGGAAGGCTAGTACATAACACTTCAACTATAATCGTCGTGATGGATGAGAAAGAAGAAAAATATATTGGTGGGAGCTCCAAATGGCCTGTTATTTGAATTCTTGTTAATCAATTACTTCTCTATTACATTAGTATAGTTTATGCATAAACTGAGTACTTTACACTAAACACTTACTTATTATACTTATTATACTAAGAAATGCATTTGAAACAAATCAAGCAACAAGTTACAACTAAATTACACTGAAATCACTTCGAATAATAAGTACGTTTATGTTGATTGTAAACGAACACCACCTTCAACTGATATGCATGTTTGAAGATTGATTTTCTCCTTTCGAGAATACATATTTACAACGTAAATACCTGAAGGTTTCTAAATACTTGCTTACTTACTTCCACCTGTTACCCTTCGCGGAAGTGTATACGCTCCCCAAAAATATTTTCCGTCCAAACCTATCCTCAACAATCCTTCCCAATTGGTCCCAGTTGCTATTTATCCTTTCCACGTCTGTTCCCAATTCTCGACACAGTATTTTCTTTGACCTTCCTCTTTTCCATTTCCCTTCAAGATTCCAAGTTAAGACTTGCCTCAGGATGCAGTTTGACGATTTCTCCAATGTATGACCCATCCACCTCCAGTGTCTTTTCCTAATCTCCTCTTCAACTGGAAGCTGGTTCGTTTTCTCCCACAGTAGGTTGTCGCTGATATCACCGGTCAATGGACATTCACTATCTCACATAGAAAACTGTTTAGAAATAATTGTGCGTTTTTGATGATGGTTGTGATGGTCTGCAAGTTTCAACTCCATACAGGAGAACTGTCTTGATGTTAGTATTGAAGATGCTCACTTTGATATTGGTTGACAGTTATTTTGAGTTCCATATGTTCTTCAACTGTAGAAATGCTGCTCTTACTTTGGTGATCCGTGCCTTTACATCTGCACCGGATCCTCCTTTTCTATCGATGATGCTGACCGGGTACGTAAAACTGTCCACCTCTTTCAGAAATTCTCCACCAAGTGTGATGTGGTTATTGCTCGTTGTGTTGTATTTGAGGATTTTGGTTTTTCCTATGTGTATGTTGAAATCTACTAATGCAGAGGATGGTGTTACATTGTCTGTCTTCACCTGAACTTTTTGGTGTGTATGGGATAGGAGAGCTAGGTGATCTGAGAAGTCAAAATTGTCTAATTGCATGCAAGCTGTCCATTGTATTCTGTGGAATGTATGATGATGAATTCCATTCAAAAGTTTCTAAATAAATTGAAATAATTAAACAAATTGGTTTAATAACGTAGAATTGATGAATTGTTTGTGTTCTGCTTCAAATCATTACTATTTGTAAATAGTCCGCAACCAGGAAATTATTAAAAGTTACATCACATTCAAATGTACATAAATAGAAAATATACATCGACAAATGGATGAATAAATTGGAAGAAACAATAAAATGTTCACCATTTAAAATAAGATAGATAAGGAATTTTTCCTGCTTTATATTGTGATTGATTTTGTGATCATTTCACTTTTAGTCAGTAGTCGCTGTTTTCTCAATTAATTAAAAAAAAAAGAACACAACTTCATCATGCTTCGCTGAAGCAGTGATCATCTGGCAAAAAACGATAAAACAAGTTCAAACTAAACTTATGTGTTCAAAAGTGAACAGCTCTCAATTTATCATTGGTATGATAAATTTAACGAAAGTATCTTATGACTGACTGCTTTAAATGAACCAGTTAGTAGTGATAGATTGATTTTCTGAATTTTTCGTAAAGTTCAAGGCTCAGAAAAAGATAACCATGGATCTCATTGTGAACTAGGTAGAGATTGTCTAGATCTTGTTCTTATATGGTGAACGAGAACGCAGGTGGGGACAACCAATTTAATATAAAATTACAGAATTTTTCCATAAAATGAGAAAAATAGTAGCAGCCTCTTCTGTATATAAGTTTTTCACTTGGATTCCTATTGAGCCGACTCTTCTGACTATGTATGATTTTGAAGGAGACTTCTGTTGAAGCGGAGTGACTAAAACTGACTAGCTGCTCCATGACGGAGCTTTTG